CTCGATTTATATTTTCGACTTTGTAGGTTTTTCCCATTTACTTTTTTTAAACGTTTCCATTAGCTTTGTTTTGAATTCTAGCTAAACATATAAGGGATTTCCTTGTTATTTCCCACATCCCTGGCCCATTAACAATTTTGCTGAAAGTAAGCATCAAGTTCATTTCCCCTCTTTGCTAAAGTTCTATAACCGACAAAATATATTTTGTTTTAATCATTAAAATACTTTTAGCCACACAGGTTTTCAGAAAGTGCTTTTGTGTTTTCTATACTTCACTAAGTCTTGGAGTAAACATACTTGTAGAATGAGTTCAAGTATAAACACAGCTTTAGAGATGCAGTCAACTAAGCAGTAACTGTAATGAGAGGACCATCTAGTGGTGACAACCACAATTCACACCCTGCTGTTTTGCAAGTCACTGGACAACTTCTCTGCCTTTGGGTTTTTTTATTCCATAGTTTTAATAGTTTCTTTAATTTAGATTTCAACCTTCTATGATGGGACTAAATAAATTAGTTTGTTGATTGTCTTCATGTTCCTGTTACGAGAACATCTACGTCAATTCTACCACAAGTGAAAGCTGCTCATAGCATCAAATCATTAATTCTTGCTAGTGTCTTCAGATTGAACTGCTAGCAACTAGGCTACAAAACAGGTTTGTTTACCTCACAATTCCCTCTTCAAGAAGTCTATAATGCCTTTTTATTAATACGAGAGACCAAAAAGTCACCAGTTGAAAAATTATACTTGTAATTGGTATGTTTTACATCTCCATCACAGACCAGATCATAACATAACAATCTAAGATTGCCACAAAGTAGCAGGGACAGGAGAGCAAAAACTTGCCTTGCAGAAAGCTGACTGAGAATGTGATACACAACTAGCAATGTTTGTTACTGTATTTTGAACATGTCAGACAACCACACAGACATTCTTCCCCAACAACCACAGTTGTTACTGTGAGAAAGTTGAAGCTGTGAGAAATCCTCCTCCCTAATGAAGCTGCAGAGAGTGGGCACATGGAGAGGTGTATGTGAGCACACATTTAACTACAAATAGCTGAAGGATGCTTAGTGGAGCTTCATAACCAAGCTGAATCATAAAACAGTAGTAGAGTATTTGCTTCTAATGGCTATTCTGCTTAATTTCTTAAAAGCTCTGATAGGACTCCAGGTGAAACAACACTCAAGAGAAAAATTTCAGGCAGTTTTTCCTTAAAGACAGGCATCCTAAGGACAGTAAGCTGCTTGGTAAATTAGAGAACCAGATTCCACTGCAATACAATCTAAACCAAACCTAAGCATGATGAAAACTGCAAGTTTAGTCTGAATAAATATCTGCCTCTTCAGTCCCTCTAAGGATCTAAAGGAAACTGCAGAATTTTCAGCAACTCAGAAGTTAAAAAACTGCTGGATTGAAACAGAGTTCCCATCCATACCTTTATTCATACCTTGCTGCCTACTTAGGGAACAGTTCCCCAACTTTAGTAGCAGTCATGCAGCCTCAGATTTTTGTTCCAGCCTGTTTTTTGCATCTCTTGCAACTCTAACTACCCCATCCCACACTGTGGAAGGTTTTGAGGACAAGAGAGCATTCTCAAGCTCTTTCTCCACAGGGTTCTCTCTAAAGCAGAGAACAGCACTAAGGAAGAGGTAAGCCTCAAGCCACCTCTTTCACTGTTCAACCTTCCTTTTTCAAAGGAAATCAAAATGTTTTTCCAAAAGAATGACTAGAGGCCACCACAGAGGCCAAAGAAGATACACAAATGGGAAATGGAAACTATGTGCTGGCTTTATATCCAAATTCTCAAAATCAACTATGCAACCTTACAGCATCAAGAGACAAACAGAGCACTTGGCATCTCAATTAAGGCCACAGCTGTAGTCACTCACTAGAGAGGACAGACTGCATCTGCACATTGGTAGAAATCTCATTATGAATGATTACAGGTGAAATATGAATGTCAGGTGGCAAGTATTTTATGTGAGGTGAGAGCAAGCAGTAACGAACTGATAATTTTCAGCAATATCTATTAAATTGACAGGCAACTGTTAGGAAGCAGTCCAACAAAAAAGAAACAGATAATTAACTAGAACCCAAATAACTGTTCATCCCAAGAAAGGACAGAAAGCCCTCAGGAACATGTTAGATGACACCAGTGCAAACTACTGTACACAAACTCAATCCTATTTTTCTTTTGCCAGTGTTAACTGATACAATTGGGTAGAATGAGTTTATCACTGAAAGTATAGGATTAAAAGCTCTATAAAAAGAAAAAAGCATAATCTGCAGCAAAAGAAATCTGAGTAAGACTGAGCAACTTCATAGCTCAAGTGCTTTGTGCCAACTCCTGTAGGATTCTTTGCTTCCTGGGGGGCTGACATTCACCCTCCTCTCCAGCATCCCCACAGCATGCTTTCCCTGTACACATGCTTTCCTCCTCCTGTTCAACTGCTGTTTTCCCATGTCTGCTTCAGTAGCTCTGTTAACGTGATCTCTGAAGTGCCTTTTTCGTCTTCACATTGTTTCAAGGATGCTTGAGCATAGCAGTAAAACACACATTAGTCACACCAGTAACAGAAGGCAATAAATACAAAAAACTCTCCCTATGCTTTTTTTAGTCCACTTCTAGAGTGTGGTGTAGAAGTCAGGCTGTTAGCAAAGCAAGCTCACTGCTACATGCTTACAGAACTGCCACCATCAAGAATTAACCTCTGCTGAAGGCAAGAGAGAGTGTTAGCAGATGCCTGGCAAGAATGCCAGAGAAACCTGCAGAAGGCAGATAGTTGAAAAAAAAATTAAAATAATTCTTTATTAACAGACTGGTCAGCTCTCAATTGCAGCCCAGAACACCTGCCAAAGATACACACAGTATGGTAAGCCAGACCAGAACAGGCATCTGTTTACTAAAGATAACAACACTTGTTAGACCTCCTTTCGGATTCCCTCTGGCTGGTCTTGCAAGATGGAAACAAAACCACAATACTGTCATTCAAAAGCCTCAAGGAGAGAAGAGGGTGTTAAAAGATGATACTTTAAAAACCTGAAATAGGATTAATTGCAAAAGGCTAAGGATAAGATTAAAAGAACATCTTTGACAAGAAATCTAATCAGACAGTCCAGGAAAGCCACATAAAAAGGATATTCAGTCCAAGAAATCTACAAAGAAGAACATTCATTGCTCCAAAAGAACTTTCTCCAGTATCCATTTCGCCTATTTCTCTGATGCTTCAATATGTGCCTTAGTAACCTGCTGTCAGGTATCTGAACATTCACTATAATTTTCCTAGAGTTAGGTCTTAAATAGAAAGCTTCATCTTATGATATGAACTTGTATTATTTATTACATAACACAAATCTCTGCCCTCCTTGTTTATTAACATTTTTGCTAACTCAGAACAAGACTTCAGGTCAATCTTTTTCCACAGCAATAAACACACTAACAGGACCTGGAACACAGGGAATAAGAAAGGAAAAGGAAAGCAGCTTGACATGCTATGACACAAGTGCTATTAGAAAACAGAAGTTTGCAGAACTTACCAGAATTCCCTCTCCTTTTCTTGCTGTTTTGTCAGGCCCTCATTTTGACTGTCCTAAGTGGTGCAAAGTGTTTGGCTGGCTGAGCAGGTTCTGAGGTAAACATTACCTTCTGTCTCCCTAGTTTGCAATGACACTTTCTTCATCACATCACTTGCATCTGCCACAGCTCATGATAAGGTACACAAGAGACAGGTCTGGCATCAAGACTGAGCTGGTGGTCAGACCTCTACTCAGATCTCCATGGTAAACAAACATATATGTCAAAACCACAGACAGTTTATTCTGCAGAACTGCACGGTGGTACATGGATATTTGGTTTATTCTTCCTGAACCATTCCACATATTCATAACTTTGTTTACGATCCCTACAATACATCTGTTAGTACAATTCCACTATAGTATGTCAGGAAGCACACTAATCACTCTTCTTAGATTTAGGAAACTCTATACTGTCCTTCCACTGTTAATAGGATAACGGCCCATGCCCTATACAATCACTCCTCAAGATACTCATAGCATAGATACCCTCTCACCCACATGTGTTCATCTTTTTTCCCCAAGGTGTTTCTGCAAAATTAGTAGGTGAAAATCTCTTCAATCAGTACAAATTTTGGTCAGCTGAATTTGAGCTCAGAGACAAGCTTGAGTTCAGGTTAAGGCACTGCAGAATTAGTATTATTAGATTATTACAGACACAGAATCAGGGGATTGTCTGCATATATTTGCCATATTCAGAAGACTTTCTGCCTTGGTAAAGTGGGCAGACTTTAAAAAGTGGGCACACTGCCAACAGTTCACGGACACTACTTGTAGAGATGCCTACGACTCCCCAATACTGTTAGGCAAACTTTATTTCTGAAGAAGAGCTGTCCCATAAAACAAACTTAAATGCTTCCAGATTGGAACACAAAAACATTCATAATTGTGTCACAAGTTCAAAAAAGACTGATATCTATCAAACTCATTCAAAACTACAAACCATAAATACTATTTTCCACTGTTACGTTTTTCAATCAGGGTTTAAGTATATTTGTCTGCATTACATACATTTAAAGATACTTGATATTTTAGGTTCAGAGAATGAAAATATTAACTTTTTTTCATTGTCCAGGATAAGCAAGTTGCAGAAAAGCAAAACAGAAGAAGAAAGCACTTATTTCAGATGTTAAAGTATTTTACAATGGAAGAGCCAAGGTTTTTGTAATGTTTTTTTAAAATCAATATTATCCTTGTAAATTCATATCCAGTTCAAGATGTGAGGAAACAACTATGCTGCAATTAATACTCTTTGCCTCATTTTAATTTCAGTTATTTTCTATATTTATCAGATAAAAGGTACCATCATTTATAAAAAGATGGTTTCCTCTAGACAGCAGCATCATGTTGTCTTTCAAAATTTAAGGTAATCCTCAACTGTTCACAGTTAAACAGCTAATAAGAATATACAACAAGGAGCTTACCTTTTACACCACCAAATGGACCATAAGTCATATTACAAGCAGTTCTCTGAAGATTGTGCTCATACATCAGTTTAATCTGATACTGGTTCCCATGTTCCACATTTCCCAGAGTTCCTACAGAAAACAAAGGGTATATATTTTTATCTTTGATCCATGGAATGTGGGAGAAGTAAAGTACCACCAGTTTAAACAACCTGAAAAAAAACTTACTCCTAACAACTCTGAGATACGAAGGCTCCCACTGCTGCTTTCTTAAAAAAAAAAAAAAACAAAAAAAAAACACAACAAAAAACACCAAGCTACAAAATTCCTAAAGGCCAGAACCAGAAATAAGGTCTCATTATACTAAATATGGTATAAAGACTTAGCAAAAGGCTGAGACTTTTATTACTTAAATGTATTTTTCTTTATGTTAAGCACACAGAAAAAAAGCTTGCTCCAAGGAGAATTCTTATGATTTTCTAGTTATTCAGTGAATATATTATAACAAACAGCCAGCCAGTGTTGTAATAGACTTTGTCTCAAATTAAACTATAGCTAGTCATTAGCTATAATTTGACAAAGCCATGCTTAGGGCATTTTCCTTTACTCTGAAATTTATTGCAGTGATCAACAATACAAAAGTAAAAGACAAACATCAGGTAACAAAGATAATTTTGTTATATACATCACATTCTCTGAAAAGGTCTGCATGAACTTTAATTTCCTGACTCTTTCAGGGAACTAGCAGAAATTCAAGAAGTCTTTCTAAAGAAACTGAAATTAAAGCTCCTCTTTCAATAATCAAAAGTCTTTCCTGCATCTCACTTCATCCTGTTGAGTAACACTTAAGGACTAATATTAGCAAGCAAAAAAAAAACAAAACAAAAACCCACAAAAAACAAAAACCAAACTTCTGAGAACAGTCACATCAGAAGGGAAAAAGGTGTTTTGAGTGAAGGATATCTAAGCTAAATCCTACCTCAACTTTTAAGTATACAAAGACTATTCCAACACCATCTTAAACAACACGCTATGAAAGATTTGTGGCTTAGGCCACTTTTAGGCAATTTCTCCAACTAAAACCCAACACAGCTTTTAAGCAATTACGCCTAAAGCAGGGCCATGTTAGGGAAAGGACTGGAACAGACAAGAAAAAAGCTCTGGCTGGGTACATAACTAGCAAAGTAGAAATACCAGAGGCAAAACAAGTTACAAAGTAGTCAGTCTGTGTGTACTGACTGTAATACAATCTCCAGGCCATACTTCAGTCAGACCTTTTGTATTAACTGTAATACAACACCCAGGCCATACATTAGTCAGCCCTCCTTGTAGAGGAGACGCAGCATAGTTATTTTATTACAAGTAACAGATACAGCAACATGTATAAAGCAAGTAAAGATCCCACATTATGAAAGTATAATTTGTCATGAAAGCATAAAGAAATAATGATTGTTATTTCTCAAAGAAGCTTGTTCAAAAGTACCTGTTTAGATGACAGAAATTACCATTACAGCATGAATACTTACAAATTAGTATGAGAAGTCTATTAAAGGGTTGTAAAACTTTACTTTTATTAGCACTTAAATGCTTAAGCCATGTAGACCAAACAGCAAACTGTAACTAGAAAAGAATTCTAGACTGACTTATCATTGTATGCCATTAATGCAAATTTTAAAATAAACTTAATAAAAATTGTACTAGTAGGCTACAATCCTAAGACATAATCGTTACTACAGAGAAAGGGAAATATGAAAACTGCAGTACATCTCAAAGTATCAGCCCTCAACAAAGATCAATTTTACAGGTGTCTCCAGATAACGTAACAGAATCTGGAAAGAGAGCATGTGTTTGTAACCTGTCCGCCTACAAGGCTGTGAATAGCAAGCTGCTCCTACAAGAAAACCATGTGAAAAGTTACAGTTAAAGGAGCCACAGCTGTTCCTCCATAGAGAAAATTAACAATGTATAGTTGCCTATTGCATTTTGAAGATGGGGGTACAATCAATAGATCTCTTAAATCCATACTTTGTTTTAAGCATGTATGAGAAGTCAGTGCACAGAACAGCTGTTTTGTGACTTGCCTCTTTACACACAGAGAGAACACAGCACTTAGAATTTCCAGGCAAAGGCAGTAGAAGAAAGAGGATTTAAGATGAAAACATAGTAGTTTCACCTCCATACCAGTATTAACCTCCTACTTTCTCTCTGGCTATATTATCGATGTTCTGGCTTTCTAAGAAATTCTCTGGATTTTTGAGTTCAGCAATAATTGTAATTGTTTCATCTTTAAAGAGCTAAGTAAGTTGCTATTAAACAACCATTTGTTCATTAGCATGCTGAATAACAGCACTCACTCCTAAAACTGTAATGAGAACTGGTTGTTCACAAGCACTACCAACCACAGACCATCACACACATGACAGCATCTCAAGCACTGAGCAGATCAACAAATCTCTGTTAACCATTGGGAAATACCTAGACCTAATTACCAATGTTTCCTCTTCATACATGAGATTGAGCCAGAGAACATGACTGCAGCTCTTCAGGGATGATGAGCAAACACTGTATACACCAAGTTTAGCATTAACCTAATCCAAACTTTAGAATGCAGTTAAAATCACTGGAAGGCACATATCTGTCAACTAACCTGAAACAGCATATACACAGAGTTTTCGGCAATGCAACACAGCCAGATGAAGTCCTTCAGTACCACTGCAAAGAAGGTTAAAAAAACCCACAGTTTTCAGATAAATTCCAAGTAAAATACATACAGGATAAAATTTAAGTAACATGTTGAACTTACTTTCAGGTGTGTGCCAAATTCATTTGGGTGTTAGATGCTAGCATAAATACTGAGAAGTACTAATCTTCCTAAATTCATGCTGCAGTGTCTAAAGTTCATTTCAAAATTAGAATTAATCCTCTAAGAACATACATTTAATTGTCTGTAAGAGAATCTAATTAAGATAACTTTATTTTAGAAATAGGTTTTCAAAGGAATTCTTTAAGTTAAGTTAATTAAGTTAATTTTGAATTTAACTTCTAATACTGCAGCATTAACCTTAATTTAAAAATGAGGAAAAAAACCTGTACTAACTACAGGAAAGACTTGTGCTTTGAGACTAAGAGCCACAAATACGCATAGAGTAACCCTATGCAGGAATTATAATGCCTTACCCTATGAAATTATGTAAAACATTTTCTTTAGGTACAGCATAAGAGCTTTCTCTGCAGGAAATACTACTTAGGTTTGGGGGAAGAAGAATGTGAATATAGGAAAGTTCTCCTAAGTAGATCCTCTTACAGACAATTAAACGTAAGGCCTTTTTCTTAGAGTCACAGTATCTCTCCTCTACCTGGTCACTTATTTCCACAAAATTCATTGTAATTAAAAATCTTCAATACTCTATTGAATCCAAAAAAAACTGGCCAATTTTACATCTTAGAATATAACAAGTTACTCAAGTTTTCTTAACACCTAAGAAAACTTTCAATATAAGGTTTTTCCTGTTCTTCCAGATACTTGTACTTTTTTTAAAGTATGTAGATTATCCTCCACGTATACATTAAGTAAAAATTCGCTTATATCAAGAAGATTCAAGAAGCAGATCAAATGCATACTACACCATCCATAGATATGCTTAATAGTTGTCCAACTGGAAACTGAAAACTCATCCTCCAAAACAAAGACAGAAAATCACATCTAAGCCTTAAATAAACAGCAATATAGCCTGTTGTTGACTTACGAAACAAATTTTCCCACTTCCACCTGCAATACTGGTTCTCGTAACTGCACTTCTAAGAGCAAGTCTTCAGGTTGTACTCCATCTCCAGGTTTCACAGGATGTGGATTAAATATTCGGAGATATCCCATATAACTGCCCACAATGATTTTATCTAAAAAAAAAAAAAAAAAGTCTACAGAATGCAACAGTGCACACAGAATTCAATTTGCTGCAGAAGTACTTCAGAGAATACCTAAAAAGACAGGATATTTACATGATTCAATTAATGTTCATTATGCTCTGTCTTCTAGGTTAAGATTATCAATTAGCTTTTTTGCAAATCCCTGAAAATTTGTCTGCAAAGGGTTCAATATGGCAATTATCGTGGTGGCACTGCACATTGTTACTATTCCATCACTTCAGACTGACATTCACACTTCTTAAGAAGTCTCATTCTGGTTTTGAAGAGTACCTCAAACTTTCAGCTTCTACATCTTGGATTTGTGCATACTCATATCACACCAGCAAAAGTATGAAATTTTAAAATTGGGACTGATTACATTTATCCAAATGCAAACTAAAGCCAGATAATTACAACATCAGGTCAACAAGGCTAGGCCTTGAAATCACCTGCTCTTGAGACAGATCCATTATTTCAAAGAGCAATGCATACTTACATCACAGTTATTTTGGAATCAATACTTTAAGCAAGTAGTCATTTGGTTGTTAGTGAATAAACAAACAAAAAACAGCCTAAAAAAATCTTAATGAAAAAATCAAAATAGGTACTTTCCACAATAACAACCAATAACTCAAGTTGGCTGCCAGTACTTATTTCCTCTAGGTACAAGTCATCATATTAATGCAGATCACAATCAAAACCAATAAAACTTGTGGACAAGTCAGGAGAACATGCACATATTCCTAAACCAAGTTCACCAGGCTCTAAAGGCTTGGCATAGTTCCACAGGACTCCACATCAAAAGCTCAAAACAGCTGCTTGCTTCCTCTCCTCTTCAGCCACAAAAAACTTGTACCCCCAAGTCCCTCATTCAGAGAATACTGACTGCCTTCCCCACTTTCACCTTTTCCACAGTTCAGTAACAAGTATTACATCAGTAAACTAAATCCATTTTAGTCATTAATTCCTGAAAAATACTGAAGTGAGGACATTTTGACCTGTGGTGAGGCAACTGCAACTAGACTATTCACTTCAAAGGGAACGCCTTTGAGGAGTGCCTCAAAGTGTGTAGCCACATTACCCATGTAACCCACAACAGTGCAGGTACTCCCCTGGAGGTACTACAACCATGGGTAAGTTAATGTTGGAGCAGGTTGGAGGACAAGCCTAATGTCATGGTTTAACCCTGCAAGCAGCTAAAACACCATGCAGTATGCTCGCTAACACTCCCCTCTACCTGGTGGGATGGGTGTAAAGATTAAAAGTAAAGAACTCGTGAATTGAGATAAAGACTATTTAATTATTAAAACAACTCAAACTTAAATAATAATAATTTAAGTCCCAGCACAAAACCAAAATAAAACCCTCACTACTTGCTAGGAGGGAAAGAAAAAAACCTCTGTCCCAGCAAAAACCAGGACATCTTACAAGATGGAGCGCAAGTGCAGCAGCGACCTGACCTGGCTTTGGTGCCAAATAACTCCACACAACAGACCACTTCTCCTGTCCCAAGTGACTACCATAACAGATGGAGCCAAAGTCATGGAACAAATGAACACAGCAGAAACTTTATGGATGTTTTAAAGACATTTTAGAGGGATAGTTCATAAACTATGGGAATCTGTGTACTACATCATAGGATGGGGAGGGTAGTGGGGGTTACTGAGGATGTACTTGATAGTGTGGGACCTGAGCATGACATAAGTAGTATGGAATAAGGGGTGGAGAATGTGCAGGCTTCGGCCACAATAAGAGTTAATTTTCTCCATAGTAGCTGATATGGGGCTATGCCTTGGATTTGTGCTGAAAACAGTGTTGATAATACAGGCATGCTTTAGTTACTCCTGGGCAGTGCTTACACAAAGTCCAAGCCTTTTCCGTTTCTCACACTGCCCCACCAGTGATTTGGCTGGCAGTGCACAAGAAGCTGGGACAGCTGACTCCAATTGACCAAATGGATGTTACATACCATATGACAGCATGCTCAGTACAATAAAGCTGGGGGAAGAAAGACAAAGGGAGGGATGTTTGGATTAAGAGCGTTTTGTCTTCTCAACTGTTACATGTAATGCAGCCCTGCTTTCCTGGAGATTCCTGAACACTCACCTGCTCATAGGAAGTAGTGAATTAATTCATTGTTTTGCTTTACCTATTAAACTGTCTTTATCTCAGCCCACAAGTTTTCTCATTTTACCCTTTAGATTCTCTCCCCTGTCTAGCTGGGGTGAACTGAGCAAGCAGCTGTGCAGGACTTACTTGTCAGCTGGGGTTAAACCATGACATTGAGTCACCATCCTTGGAGGTATTTAAAAGACATATAGACTCGGTGCTTAGGGACATGGTTTAGTAGTGTACCTGGCAGAGTTAGGTTTATGGTTGGACTCAATATTAAACAACTTTTCCAACCTAGATGATTCTATGATCCTATGAACTTCTACTGAAAAAGTTCATACATCAAACCAGTAACAGTTCAACTCAGTTCAAATCCCTCTGAAAACGGGTAAAATAAAAATAATTTTAAAAGAGTATGGCAATGGTGGATTCAAACTCAATTACCTCTACTAAGCAAAAACAGAGCACGAGTGTATCAAAGATTCCAAATATTTATTAATTTAAAAAAACATACACAAGAACTCTGACAGAAAAGATCATTCCACATTATTAATGACTATATAGAAAAGCACTATTTACCCAGAGTGACTTATTTCAATGGTCCTTTAATTTCCAGGCAGAAAAGGTTGGTTGGTTGTTTATCTAAATTATTAGCTTATTAGCTTTCACCTTCTTTTGTTTTTTCTTATTTTTTTTTCAATGACTTACATGTGTGTTTGCTTCCGCAACTAAAGGAAAATGGTCTATTTTAAAGATACCTACCATTGAGGGAGTAAGATATGAGAGAAATAAAGCAAGCAAGAATTAAGATGTTTAGAAACCTACAAAGACAAATGGCACTGAATTTGTCTTCTTAAGTCTACAAGGCCACATTAAAGATAGCAGACTTTAAACTAACTAGCCTGGCTAACAAGATTTCAGCATGCACTGGTCAAAGCAAACTTGCAGCTGCATAGCTTAGAAGTCAGCAACCATGTAATTCTGAATTTACCTTGTCCACTGCCACTATTATCAACATCAGCAACACACAGACAGCCTTGGTCAAATTCCTCCTTTTCTCCAAGTATGGTGGACCACCAGTCTCTAGCTTTAAACAGTGACATTCTTCTTTACTGAAAAAGAAACAACCACTGTTCGAGTGTATACTAATATATATACAAGTGTTTATACAAACAACTTTTTCGTTGTTAGGAACAACTCTTATTAAGTATATTTCATCTCTTCACCTCACATTGGTCTAATGTGAGCTGAATAAATGTCAATTTCAGGTGTCTGGGGTTTCGGGTTTATGTAGTCCAGAAAACAACCTTAGAAAACTTCTTGTCATTAGTTTACAAATTAGCTGTGATAGCCACTGCTAGTTATAGGAAGGAAACAAGCAACTGAACAAAAAAAACCCTAAATTGTTAAAAGCCTTCTGTAACAAGCATTAAGAAAGCAACATAAGTTTTCAAAGTCACAGAACTGAGGTTTTCTCTCTTACCAAGGCGTATCAGGAAAAAAAGATTCTGATGCAAGTCTTCTGCAAGAAAACATATTTTTAGAAAAGTAAATGAAGACATAAACAGACAACATCAAAACCTCCACCGAGTAATCGCCTTGAAGATGCCCTAGTGACACAACTAAAGAACTCGATCAGATAGGGCACAAATCAGCTTTTCTGCTCCATACCTGCTGTTATTTTAAGAAGGGGGGGGAGGGGGCAGGAGGAAAAGAGAGAGAAGCCTAATCCTTTTGCAGGCGACTTGACAATAACGTTACCCTAGTTCAAAACTCACAGCTCCACGCCTATGTTTTGCCACCAGACAAACCTGGACAAAGGCGACCCCAAAGCTTCAGCGCTTCTTTCCGGGAAGAAGGAAAAAGGGCGACACTTTTCCTTCGCAGAAAACGCAGCCTACAACCCTCCGCCTTTCCTCTCTAAAGGAAAATCGCATCCAGCAAATAAAAACATTTTTTTTTTCCATCTTAGGCGGTTACCGTCGTTATGCCACCTAGGCAACCTGCTGCAGCCGAGTGCCAGCTGGCGACAGCACAGCCCTCCCC